GGGGGGGGGGGGGGAAGAGATTAATTAATTTATATTGTTAAACATGTTTCTTAAATCTAGTTTGTAATTATGTTCATAGTCTGGTTTTCTTTGTATTTAGGCTCATATTTGCAAATGGAATGAAATTCACTAGAGGGCAGATGGCTAATTTGTAACATTATCCTTTATTGGTTCACGAAAAAGCTTGTTTCAGTAGCTGGGAGAGGTGCTTCTGACAGAAGGAAGAAAGGTTCTAGAGTTTTTGCTTGGTCAGCTGCTTAGTGGTTTCCTGTTCTTGACTTTTTAACTGTAGGGTGGCATTCAAACCTGGTCTTTTGTTGGGTTATGGACAACTCTTGAAGAAGCAGCATGAAATCTTGAAGTTTATACTGTTCAATTTGATCATTGGACATAGCTGTGTGAAACCTTAGTGGTATAGGTTGTCAGATAATCAACATTCCAGCAGTCTTTGGAGAGTGGCCCTTTGAGAGGATGATATGTGGCAAGCTGGTAGGTAGCTGTGTACTTCAATTGTTTGGGCATATGGAAATAGTTCTTCAAAGTTGATCACTGTCACGATAGGCATATAGACTGCTGAGCTGATCTTTGTAGAAAGGCTGTCAAGCCTGTATCATTAACTTTTAGTTACTCAAACAAATAGGACGTTAAAATGGAAAATGACAACAGGATTTCTCTCTCTCTCATTCTACTCCAAATTTTATTTTTACCCTATTTTTTTGAACTATGCTTTCAGTAAACAATTTTAGTAATGGCCAAAGCCAATAGTTGTCATGGGGATACTGACCTTGTTCAGAAGATGGATGTTAAAACTGTGGGCAGTTGCCTGTGTGCCTAGATGGTTTGATCCAGTTGTTGATTTCTCCTTTCAGTCCTGGCCAAGCCTCTGCTTTGATGCTTGCTATCTTGTATGGCATGTTTTACCCACATATTTTCCAATTCAGTAAGCAGACATTTTTAAGATAGAGTGACTAATTTATGGTCTTGTCCTCAGAATGCTTATAATTTGTCACAGATTTATATGTCAATATAAATAACTAATATGAAGCATGATATGAAAAATACTTAATATGAGTGTTTGGAAATCTCAAGGAATGAGTATAGCATTCTAGGATCTAAGGAATAATAGCTTAATTTGAGACATGGAAGTAGAATAATCATTTTA